AGATGAACGTGTTTGCATTCACTGTAAATGTGATGATTATCAGAGAACACAGTCTGTCACTTTTAATAGCCCTGATGTGCAAAAGTAGAAAATAATGGCTGCAGGTGTTCACACAATGTGGTCGCGTAATTGTGCAGAGACTTGACCAGACTATAAATCTAAGAAAAAGCAGGATTGTATTTTTGCATATTTACATCCTATCAAAATAGTATGTTCTATTCATATTGGTAAAATAAAGATATAGGCCTAGCTTTTCAAAAGATCGGTCTTCTTTTTTGAATTGAACCTCATCTTTAAGGGTTAGCGTGTGACTTCTGGCACCTGAAGGGCAGCTGTAGATCTGTTGTCCCCCTTTCAGCAGCTTTAGCAGATCAAAAGCCCCCCCCTCCACTGTCACATCACACAACATTTCCTTGAACTTTGCTGGCAATGGGTCAGTACCTGTTACTGCCTCAGGGACCTGCCAGCTCTGTCAAGGAGCCCTACCCATTGCCTGCTGATGCTCAGGGAAGGGGGCTAAGCAGGGGTACAGCTTCAGATGTTCCTCTGCATCCCTGGCTGTCAGAGTGATCCCCACTTTCCCACAAGGTCAGCAGTGCTGCCACTTCAGCTTTATGAAGATCTCAGAAGTTCAGAGAATTGAACAGAATGATCCATCCCAGGCTGTGCCATAGGGTGCCTGTGTAGGGCTCATTTTTCAGACTTCAGAATGATTTTTTCTTATTCTCCTTTTCTCTTTTTCCTTTCCAACCTTTTCTCTCAGTTACCTATACACCATGTACGACAGCACGTGTAATTAGCACACACCCCATTTTTCTTAGTGCCTTATTCTCCTGCCATTGGATTATGTCTCATTTTCCAATGAGATGGCCCTATTAACAAGCTGATGGTATTATTGCCACTGCATTTGTGGAGGCCATGCTCGGGGTTCCGTAACACAGAGAAAGAGCTGCTTTGAGATTTCCCTGCAGAAAGGTATGCTGCATGGATGGGCCCACATCTGCAGCATGTACAATACGGACTCCTTGTAACAGAACTGCTGCGAGAGACCCCCCCGGGTGATCCTGGACTGGATCAACACATGAAACACATGAACTTGCTTGTCTGTTCCCAGGTATGTGTATACCTGGCCACCATGTCTTGTGCTGTCGTTTGCTGATATGCTGATGTTGGTGTTAGTGCCATTGCAGGAGCTTCCCTGATTTCCCTTTCTCAGATACACCAAGTTGGTTTCATTTTCCTCCAGACCCAAAATGATGAAGTTGCTTTCCAATATTTGGAATAGGTCAATGCTCCACCAGTAACTTTTCTTGCAGTGCTCTCACTCTCCTTATTCATACCTCTAACTGGTGCTTTCTTACACAACCTTAACAGCATTTTAGGGGGGGAAAGTGATGAAAGAACTTCAATACCACTGCTCTCCAGACTGAATTAAGTTATGTCCCTCTCCATTGGAACCCCTGTTCCTGCTCTCTTACTAGGCAAGCACAGACTAAGGCCAGGGTGGGAGAAGCAGTAGGGGAGGAGGAGTGGCTCCGCTTTCCATAAGTATTCTCCATTCCCTGCATGCTCATCTTCACTGACAAACTGAGCACCAGCCTGTAGAGCCCCTTGGCCAGAGTAATACCTGACTCAGCCAGAGATGATCTCCCTGGCTGAGCATGGTGGGACAGGCAGGAGGGCTGGATGAGACCACAGTGTCTGCTCTTGGTGCTGGGAGAAGTAACGCTGGTTTTCCTGAGGTTGCCAGCTGCTCCCTGAATCTTTCCATCGTGAGACTTGTTTGTTGTAGATAGAGACAATGTCTACTTCTTCCCTCCCTTTCTTCTATTTCTGATGTATCACGGCCTCATTGTAGAGGGGAGCTCTGCATTCCTTGCTGAGGGTGCCTGGGTACCAAACTCTGCCTGACGTGCTTTCCCCCTTTCTTTGCTTCTCAAACAGCTGCACTGTCAATGCCCATCTGCTCCCAGCTGTTGATTTTTAACATAACAGTGTCAGTATAATACTATATAAGGAATTTTGGTGGAGCCAAAGCCTTTTTTTTCTTCTAGTGTTGTTTTCATCTGACTTGGACTCACCCTTTGCCTTTATAAAGGACATTTTATGGACCACAGACCTCCAGGAAAGGCCTTCACAGCCACAGAAGGGAGATTTTGGAGATGAGAGACAATAGTGCCCATCCCTGCATGTATTCCCACCCCCTCTGCCAATCCTTATTTCACCCAGATTTAGGGACAGAATTTGGGGTCCAGTGACCAAAGTGTCTGTTAGAAATTTCTTTTGGAAATGCAGAGTTTTTTAAAAAGCACATCACTGGAAAGAACTAGTTTTATAAAGTGCTAAGGAAAGTACTGCGTTCTCTCCTAATCTGAGCGAAGGTTGCAAGGGTACCCTGGCAAACAGCTCCCTCTCCCGGAGCCGTGCATGACTCCCACATCTTGCAAGGTATCATAAAACATGGAATAGTCGAAAAGAATGGCACCGAGGACTTCATGAGGCCCACAGAGCTTTATATTCCCTTGCCAGTAATTTCAACAGGCAAAAAAAGGTTAATGTTTCACCAGACCACAACCAACCGGGTAAAAGTATAAAGAATTAAAAGCAAAGTCACAATTTGACAGTAGGAATAACAGCAATGCAGCTGAGTGCTGGAGCACAGGGATGAAGAGGAAAAGGAAAGAGCCATAGAACGGAGTTTTCAGCTGCCAAAGAAAAGAAAAGTTGAAAGCATACTTCAAAATTTATTTAATTATGCTCTCTAAAGGAATGGAAATTATTTTGTTTCAGTAAGAGAAATTAGACTATAGAGACACATAAAAATGTAACATTATTACACTACTATTTATATACTACATATATCATTTATGTGCTTAATACAGAAATTATTTCCAGAGAACTTTATCATAAGAGATGGACCAATGTCTGAATTTTACCTGGGGTATTTAAGCTCCACTTAAGTTCGGTGACATTTTTTCCAACCCAGCTTTATCTCATCTTTATCTTAGCATAAATAGCTTAGATATTAATCTAGGTGTCTAAACTGATCTGTCAAAACCTAAGGTTGTTACCCAGAAAAAAATGGTTGGGATGAGGGTTTGCATTTTGATCAAAGGCTGCCTGTCACTGAGGTTATCCTGTTGGAAATATTTTGGTAAGGTGTGTGACCATATACCAGAAAAAAGTTAGCATGGAGGTAGGCATGAAGTAGAAAGGCACAACAGTATATTGCAATGAATGATTTCCCTTATTTGAAATAAGATCTATTAATATAAGCATACTAGAATAACTGAATACAACATGTTTGGGCTTAGCTTTGTAGTTTGTTGTTACACATCCTTTATCAGCAAAGGCATTAAACTTGCTAAAGCCAACAAGCACAGCACTCTCCCGTGCTTGTGCTAACCCAGGCGAGTCTAGAAAAGCTCTTCTGCTATGTAATTTCATGAGAAAATATATACGCCGGGGTGCCTTTCTGGTGCGATGTGTCTTCAGAACACAAATTCACATCAGCAGCAGACTTGCTGTCCTGTGGGTGGATCCCCAGGCCTCCTTTTGGGGATATCACAGGAAACCCCCAAAACTCTCACCCTGAAGATCCACACTGCTCATCCCTGCAATGCCCAGCTGAGCTGGTGCTCTCTGTGCCTCTCTGCCCAGCTAGGCTGGACAGCACTGTGGGATCGACCACAACTGTCCTCGGATCAAAAATGGGAACCTCATGTAACGGCCACATTCACAGCCAGCATGTGTGTGCTCAACCCGACAGTTTTCAAGCTGGTGGTTTCCAGAGGGCACAGGGGCAGGAGGAGGTTTCCCTGCACTTTGACTCCAGCACAGCCAAGGACTGAGCTGCTCAGTGTGGGCAAAGAACGCTGCAGAGTTGGTGGGAGAGCAGACCCATTGCCCCGGCAAACCCCGGAGGTACACTGAGGGCGCCCAGTGCTGAACCTGAGCTTAGTGGCTTGCCATGCTTGAAACTCATGTAACTGCACAGCCCAGGGGTGTATCCCATCAGGACAGGCTGCTGATTACTGCAGAACTGGGGGCAGGCAGGGGCTGCCAGGCCTGGCAGAAGGCAGGCAGTGCTGCTTTAGTGAGGCAATGCTCAGCACTTACAGCAGGGACACAGAGTCAGACCACCACATGTGTCCCCTGCACCTTGTGATACCCAAGAGATTTATTTTCTCCATCCCATAATTTTCCACATCAACTCTCTGTCAGAAGTGACAGTCCCCAAGGGGACTGTCTACTCTGTTCCCATGAGAGCCCAGCTGGAGTACTGCATCCAGCACAGGAAGGACAGTGACATTTTGGAGCAAGTCCAGAGGAGGCCACCAAGGTGATTAGAGGGATGGAACATCTCTCCTATGAGAATCGGGATTGTTCAGTCTGGAGAAGTCTTAGGGCTGACCTAATTATGGCCTTCCAGTGCCTGAAGGGAGCCCACAAGAGAGATGGAGAGGGACTTTCTACAAGTGGCAGAACAAGGGTGAATGGCTTCAAACTGAAAGAGAGTAGGTTTAGATTAGATATTGGGAGGAAGCTCTTTACTGTGAGGGTGGTGAGGCACTGGAACAGGTTACCCAGAGCAGCGGTGGATGTCCCATTCCTGGAAGTGCTCAAGCCCAGGCTGGATGGAGCTCTGAGCAACTCTGTCTAGTGCAAGGTGTCCCTGCCCATGGCAGAGGAGTTGGAACGAGATGGTCTTTGAGGTCCCCTCCAACCCAGGCCATTCCATGACTTCGTGATTCTACGATGGAAAGCTCGGGCCCCTGGGACTCTCCCTGCGAGGGGCTGCCCATATCAGCGTCCGAAGCTCCCACGAGGCTGTGACGGTAAACGGGCCCCTGGAGCCGCTCAGGGGGACGGGGAGGGGCGCGGATGAGGAAGGGCAGGGACCGGACCCAGACCCGCGCGTGCCCACAGGAGGCGGCCCCGCCCCCAGCCAGGCCCCGCCCCTTCCACCGGGCCCTGCCCATTCCCGCCCGCCGGGGTTGGGGCGCGTTGACGGCCGAAGGGCGGGGCGGGGAGCGTGCGCGCGGCTCTCGCGAGAGCTGCCGCGGGTATTCGCGCGGTGCGCGGCAGGAGCGGCCCTTTCTGCCGGCCCGGCCATCTTGGCGGCGCGTCTGTGGTGAGCGGGGCCGGGCCGGGCCGGGCGGGGGGCGCGGGGCGCGGCCGGGGCGCTGCTGGGTGCTGACCGCTCTGCTCCATCCCACTGTGTTCCAGGTACCGCCAGACCCCGCGCCAGGCAGCACCATGGTGGCCGCGAAGAAGACGGTGAGTGGGAGCGGGGACGCACCGGGTGCACGTGGCTGCGGCCCGGCGGAACGGGCCGCACCCCGGTGAGGGGGAGCGGAGCCCGGCACGTCTGGGTTGGGGACCGGGGGTGCCGAGGTGGGGGGGCCTCAGAGCTCGGGCCGTGCCCTCCTGACACAGGCCGCACCCCCCGGCCCCCTCCCGCCGGGTCCCGTGTCCGGGTTCCCTCCCGAGCAGCTCACAGGGCCCTGAGCTGGATGGAGGAATGGGGAGCTGGTGCCCAGTTCCTAGTGCGAGTGGAGCTCCGCTTCTGCATTTCGTGCCATGTTCTGGCCTTTCTCTTAATGCGGCTCTAACAAGTCTGTGTTTTGTGTTAAAAGGGGCCGTGCTCGTCTTTGCAAATGCCTTTCCTTACTTGTGGGAGCTTCAGCACGGGATTGCTTCTTTCTACTGCCCAGTATCACGCTGCCACTGTGCGCCCTAGGGAGAGACAGACTCCAAACCTGACTTAGATTTGCAAGGCAGAAGTCGTATTTACTTGGGAGTTGAGTAGCTGAGCTTGATAAGGGCCTGTCAGATACACACAGATGTCATTGACTTGTGTAGGCAGCAACAGTGCTTTGAGATGTATTTTCTTATTGTAAGATATGTAGGTAAGAGAAAACTTTCTGAAGTTGGGAAAACAGTATCAGCAATCTCTTATCAACAAGCTTTCTTACACTCAGAGGGGTTGAGTGGCCTTTCTTATTCTATATTTCAGTTTATTGGAAAATTAGAAAAAACTGCTTGTATTTGAAATGTCTTTGTTTTCTTATGTTCTCCATTATTTTGAAAAATGTAAAGTAACACACAGTAATGCTTTTCTACATCTTTTTCAGAAAAAGTCCCTGGAGTCCATAAACTCAAGACTTCAGCTGGTTATGAAAAGTGGCAAATACGTGCTCGGATACAAACAGACTCTGAAGATGATCCGGCAGGGCAAAGCCAAGTTGGTCATCCTCGCCAACAACTGTCCTGCTTTGAGGTGAGCAGACGTTTGGAAAACAGTTCTCTGTGAGACAGGTTCTTCGTGCAAATGCATCGTGTGCTAATTGCTGCAGTAAGTTAATGCAGAGGACCTCATGGGCACGTTCCAGAGCGATGTGAAATTAAAGTGATGGGTGGTTTGGTGTGTAATGATTTCAGGTCTGGATGTGTTGAAATGCTTCCTAGTGGGTTTTTTTTTTTTGGTTTCTCTTCCAAGGAGTTCATACGTGAGAAGCTAGTACAGGAAGCTTTTCACACTGTGTTAGCATTCACTGAGAGTGCGTTGGGGCTGAATTCCTGTGCTTTTTCAAAGTAGTGTATTGGAAAATAATTTTACAGCTAGGAAAACCGATAATTGATTTAAAATATTTGAAGCATACAAAATCTGCTGTCTAAGTTAGTTATAAATTAGGGTTTCTGGTGAGTGAGTTGCTTTTTTGAGAATGAAATCTTCACTAACTTCCTGACACTTTTCTTGTGGAATATCTTGGGCGCTTTTTATTGTCAAGGGATATTAACAGACTCAAGAAAATGCAGATGTGGAAATGAGAAATTAGATGCTTGAGAAATGGCAGGACTGTTCCAGTAGGCAGCAGTCCCCAGTGTTAGTGGGGATTCCAAAAGTGCTTGAGAAGCAGTATTGACCACTAGAATCTCCTGGTGGAAGCCAGAAGAGAGGGGAATATAAATGGGCTTCTTGTTTTAAATTAAAATACACAGTTTATTTCTCAGCTAGCAGCAGCTGTATCTCTGTTCAGTGTCTGGCCACTGCATATCAACATTAATATTGATCTTTGTTTATGCACTTTGGCACAGCTACAGCTTTTTAGAAGTCTGCAAGACCTAAAACCTGTTTTTACTGTGTAGAAATAAGCATGTGTAGGAGCAGCCTGAGAGGTTTGTTGTTACATACCTTCAGCATAGGTCTGGGTAAGGGTACCTGAGCTGCAACGCAGGGCTGATTTTGTCTGGCAAGGAACAGCTGTGTTTCTCTGGGTGCTAAGGAAAACTGTGTAAGGTTTAAGTGTGACATGAGTTAAAGCTGCTCTCTCTGTATTGCAGTCAGTACAGAATTGTACTGTAACACCCAGTTTTTGGATTTCAGAAAATCGGAGATTGAGTACTATGCCATGCTTGCCAAGACTGGCGTCCACCATTACAGTGGCAACAACATTGAATTGGGCACAGCATGTGGAAAATACTACAGAGTGTGCACACTGGCCATCATCGACCCAGGTAATTCCCTCCTACAGTAGAGGGACCAAATGAGCATGTATCTATGGTTCCTCCTTTCTCCTGTGAGCAGCAGCACTGAGCAAGTAAAGAGAAGGAGTGATGACACACTTTGCTTTTTTCCATCAGGTTTAACTCTTAATTTCCTTTGACCAAAATCCTGTTCTTTTGTGAGTCCTAGGTTCTTAGAACCTGGAAGGACTGCTGCTTCTGTTTGTAGATAGCTCCTTTTACTGCTGAACCCTGTGAGCATTTTCTCTATCTGTTGGTCCATAGGGAGGTTTCAGTACCTAGGAAGCAACTTTATGGGACATGTTTCTAAGAACCCATTAACTCAGATACAAGCTCATGCAACGTGCTGTTTACATCAGCCCTGTTTGACTGTTCTTAATCAAAACTAAAGGATTCTGACTTGTTTTGCTTCCCAGAATGATTTATCCAAAAATAACCTATATGCAGATGGATGCTAATCAAGGATTGAAAATTATAGTAAACATTTTATTTTAAAAGTCTTTGTGTATTTCTATGGTTTGGTGGCACTCTTTGTCCCACAAAGTTGCTCAAGTTCCTTATATAGTCTGCTTATTAGGTGACTTGCCAGCCTCTTTCCAGAATGTTCTAAGAGAAGAATCACTCTCATGTTCTGTTTGTTGCCCAGAATACATACACATGCATTTAATGATTTCTGTAATAACTTTCACCAAATGTTCCCCAAATGACATCGGTTTGAATTCACTGTTACTTCAGAAGACTTTATTTAGCTTGCTTGTATTCAAATAGTAGCTGTAAACCTAATTTTCAAAATGTCACTTTTAGGTTTGATTTTGGGTGGGGTGGGAGCTGCAAGTAAATCCTGCTGCTGTGTAACAAACCTAATGCGAATATTCTCGCTGTCCTGATATTGCTGTGATCAGGGGAGGCTAGACATTCGCTAGAGTAAAACTATGCATTGTGTCCTCCAGCACTAGACTGCTGCTCTAGTACTGGCCTTGTAAATGCTAGTAACAGCTACATAATTACTGGGAAAATACTGTATTTGGATTAGAAAAATACAGTTACAAGTATTTTTTATCAAATCCATAAAAATTACTTGCTTTTTTCCTAAACAGGCTCTCTACTGCTTTTAAGTTGTTTTCTTTTTCTAGAATCACCGTGGTGTTTTTATGGGTGGGGTATTTTCCTACTTTTTGGCTTATTCCTGAAAGCACCTTCTGTGGGTCCTTTTGTAACAATATATTTTTATTTTACAGGTGACTCTGACATCATTAGAAGCATGCCAGAACAAACCAGTGAGAAGTAAATGCTGTAAAGGTGTTATTTCTACAATAAAACTGGTTACAGATATCTTTTAAGAAAAATTTCTATTATACCTTTTTTGGTTTTGGGAACAAACTATATAAATGAAGATTCATTACCACTGCTGTGTTTCGTGTTGTGTTAGAAATAACCTTAATGGGACAAAGCTTGCCTGTTTCTTTCTGTAGAAGATGTGGATCTTGAGAGGTAAGTGGAGAAAGGCTTGATAATGGCAAGTATGGTGCCAAATCCCAGCTGGCTAGGGCTTCCTTAGTGTTTGGTTTTGGAGTGCTAATGCAAAACCAAGGCATAACATGAAGGACAGTAGCAAATTTGGGATATTGGTGGGGGATCCAAAAGGGTTTGCTTGCACTGAAATAATTCATGCAATTTTTACCAAACCAATCACAGTACTAATGTGCATTATTCTATTTCTTTTCCTTCCAAGAGTACATACCTGTCAAAAGGCAAACAGGATAGCTGCTAGATGTGCTAGATGTGTAACACTGCTTTCAGTAAGATACCAGTTAACGTTGCAAAGGTGATTTTAAATTAGTATCTTCTATTTCAGTTTTCAAAGATGTTAAGAGACAGATGAGTTGGTGTTCTCAAGTCATCATTGCTGAGAATGTTGGTATCTTAAAGATTTGTGCCTGTTTTGTGCAGGACCGTAACTGCAGGATGTTCCTTATTACTAGGGACTGTTGAGGTGCCAGTGCTTTGCTGACAAGTGATAAAAGAAACACCTCATGAAAATCAGTATGTACTTGCAACCTTGTGGAATTCCAAAGTGTGCAAAAGCACAAGGTACCTTTCAAAGCTTGCTGTTACGTATTCATGCACACTCATTAGCTTATCTGGGATCACTTGATCACTTAAGTTCTGCTGCAGCTCCTTCTGTTATAAAATGGATGAAGTTGTGTCTTTCCATTTGGAGATAGTAAAGAGGCAAACCAGTGCACGTCAAAGCAAAGGAGGAAGTGCTGATGTCTTTATCTATTAAACCGTAGATGGGGATAAGTTGCAGCCAACGGGAAAGAGTGAAACTTGAATGCACTTCAGTTGGCCAGAATGGCTGGAAGGAATTTGCTGGTTTGTTTATGTTTTAGTGTTTGGCAAACAGGTGTGCAGTTAGCTGTATTGACCAAAGAATGTTTTCATAATTAAAATATTAGTTGCATTCAGGAAAGTTAGAGAGTCTGAATACTGACCAAGGGACAGCAGGGAGAGGTTGGATGGTCTGGATGTACTAAGAGCAAAAGTACTGGAAACTTCAGACTGTGATGCCCTGATAATCCAGCAGACTTGCCCCTCTGTGCATTTACTTTGATCACAGTTTAAACACAAAGGTGTAAATTTGTATTTTTTACTTCCAGCTAATTTCAGTAGTCTGCTCATTTGAAGAATCCAAGTAAAACCTAATGGCTGTGAATGCTGTCCCACTGGTTCTGTTTATCTCTGTATGTATACGTAGTACTATATATATTCACACAGATTGGGTGCTTAAAATGTTAGCAGAATGGAGGAGGGAAGTACAAAAAAGCCATAAATAAATTCATACCCTAAAAGTACTTCAAAACATGGAGGTTTCACTTCAAAAAATAACAGCATTTTATTATTTTGCATAGCTTATTTCAGTTAAGTTCTGCTTAATTAGAATTTTTGCTAGTTACTAAATTGTTTATAAAATTTTCAACATTTCTTATCTGCAATCAATGCAAGACAGAACACATGGCATATAGATGCAGGGATCCAAAATACTCTTTTTCAACTTCAGACAAAAGGATTAGTTATTTTACTTTGAACCAGTTTAAGAAAATAGCTCTGACACATTTGTATGTATAAATATACAGTGTAGCATACACTTTAAATTCTCGTCAGTATCTTAGCCTGTTTTCCAAGTCTTCCATTCTCTTTGTCATTTCTTCGAGTACATAAATGTTAAGGAAAGAGAGGTAGTGCTAAGATGCATTAATAGAAAAAGTCATCTGCCTGATTGTTTTGGTCCATAAACTTTCTCTTGTTTCTCCTCTTTGACTTTCAGTAGTTCTAATACAATACTCCACTATATTTTCTTGTTCTGATTTGATCAGCTGAGTTGAGAAAGCTGTGTGAAGCCCCGTTCATTAACAGACATACCTTGACATTGAGTTCATATTGAAGCTTATTACAAAGGCGGGTGGTTCTGATAATTGATCGCTTTCCTCTATTTTAAAGGGAAGGTAACTATCCTATTTAATGCTGTTTAAAAAATGTTCCAATTAATCACATGGAAAGCTGCATGTAACTAACAGATTATAAAACTGTATGGAGCTCTGAGAGTGGAGTAAGAATGTCTGCTGACGATGAGCTGTTCTGCCCCACGGTCGTGTCGTGTTGGGTACTGTTTTTACAAAGCCAGTGGTTTCCAGACAGATGTGAAATAGAGCACAACAAGCCCCATGGGATCTAGGGTTGGCTCCACATAAACTAAGAAGCTGTAGCAATACAGAGCAGCGTACAGCATCATATTCCTGATAAGCACTTCTAACTGGCAGGAATTTTATGTCTGCTGCAGCAGGAAGTTGGACCAGTACTGTTTACCTGAGCATCTCTCTCTGAGTGCCATGGTAAGGCTGCAGCCTGGGGGAGCTGAGAGGAAGAGGATGCCTAGCATCAGGAGGGAACTGAAAGCACTGAGGCCCACCTCAAAGGGATGAAGTTGCTGCATTCCACTCTGCTTGTTAATCTAGTGTCTCGATTTCAACATTTTAAGGTCTTCCACAAGGGAACAGGGAGAGCTGGGTATATAAATTGGGATCTTTGACAAGTGGCACAGGAATTGGTATGGGTAGACAGGCAAATTGAATTCAGCCTCTGAGTTTGGCCAGAAGAGCCATGTGCTCTGTGTCCCCTCCCTCCCTCCCCACCTTGACAGCAGGAGAATATATCCTCTGGGTAGTAAGGAGCAATAGTGTGGGTCCTGCTGTTGCTGTGGGCACTAGCCTGCCTGAACATTGGGTTGGTTTGGTAATTCCTCAGCTGTCTGTCTTGCTGAAGGGATTACTCTGCATATTGGCATCATGTGAGCTGCTTTCTTTGCAACATCCATGTTTCTCAAGTGTTTACAGAGGCAAAATTCAAGCAATTGAACTGCATTCAACTACTGATAAAAAAAGTTAAATGTAGCTGGATAAAAATCATCAAGAGTTTGGACTGGTCTCTCTAAATACATATTCTATAACTGGAGCTAGTTTTGTAGCCAGTTCTCCCACTCCCCCCCAGATCTCTGGATGAGGACTGGCCAGCAGTCTTCTGCAGCTATCAAAAACTAGTGTATCACCCTGTATCTGAGCTGCTCTTGAGATAAGGCAGAGAAACAAGATTTGTAATGGAGAGGAAACTGGATGGTTCTTAACTTTGTTCAAAGCAGTGTTTGCACAGTGCTCTGAGGAAGTGCTTAGCACTATTCCTCTCATAATCCATAGGTCTCTGGCTCAGTGTCAACAGCTTTTCTATCACCTTGAGTCCTTGGAATAAAACTCAAACAGTTGCCCGTTCAAATTGTAAAGCAAAAAAGCACATGTTGCTAAGCTCTGTTCTTGATTCTGAAGAAGCTCCTTGTAGCCTGGCTGTAGGAGATGACAGTAAAAAGGCTGAGGCTTCTCCTGAAGGGGTGAGGAGTGGTCTCCTTTCTTGTCAGCATCTAAGTTGGAAGTCCATGGGCCTGAATAACTCTTAAGGATGTGGGAAATGACCTAGAATTTTTTTCTCCGAAGTAATTTGGAGAAGTCCCTTCAGAGAAGGGCATTTGAAATGAGTATTTGAAGCACCTAGCAATAACCTTTTACAATGGCTTTCTCCCCCTTTATGAAATAATTCTACTTTGCATTGAATAATTTAATCAAGAGATCAGAACGTGATTCCTTGAAGCGTCTACCGAAGGATTCACTTGGGAAGGTGAGAGTGAAGCTGGCTGCTGCAGGTACATAAAATAGCTGGAAGTAAGGTCTGAACTGGTAGGCAATGTTTTGCATCAGGTTAACAGAGCCCGCTGGTCCTGCCTGCTGTTACAGCCCCTGAGGGCTCTGTTAGCCTTGCTCTGGACAGACTTCACAGGTTCCTCAGTCTGAAGCTGTTCTTGTCTAGGAAGCACACAGGAGCTGTTGGTGTCACTGCACTCTTCTGTGCAGAAAGTAAGTGCTTACTGATCTTGCACTCAGTTGTAGAACTTAAAGAGAAGATGTGATGTCTTCTCACTATATATTTGATCAGACAGACACAGCTTTCATGAAGAAAACAGGAATTTCCTGCATAAATAGTGCATAAATACTGCATGATGTATTGTATTGCCAATTTGTTGCTGTTGTCTGCTGAGACATGGTAGATGTTACAGATAGTACAGCAGCCTTTACACTAACAGTTCCCTTGGAAAAAACAGACTGAGGGGGAAGGGGCAGAAGCTACTGATCTGCACTTTGCTTATTTTTATCTGCATTTCTTTTGATGCAAAATTAATCAAACCTCAGTCCTCTGAATTCCTCTTCATCTGGAGTATGATTTTAAATGACTCACTGCATCTGGTGCCTCACCAAGCAGTTCAAAAGGGAAACATCTCCTGTAGCCAGTAAATGCTATTTCAATACCATCTGAAGAAGCAACGAGTGTTAGTCTTGAATTTGAGTAGTCATTTCTTTGCTGTCCCTGAAGGTGTTTACTGTTAGGGGATATTAAAACTTAGGATCTTTATTAATATCTTGGTCCCTTCTATGAAGGAGAGACAGATTACAAGTCTTGAAGGCCTTGCTTCTTGGAAATTATTATGTAGTTTAGATTTTCATGACAGCAAATTGATTTGAGCTATGGATGCAGTTTGGACTTGATGCATTAAAATTATAGTTTCTAATAACCTGCCCTTCCTGTCTTAAATGTAAAAATTATTCCGAAAGGATATATCGCTCGATGAGTTTTCTTACTTCATTAGTTGCATAGTTCTGGAACGTCACAAGGTTTTCACATTTGCACTGGTCGTTATCTTTTGAAGCTTTTGCTGAAAAACAGAAACCATCAAGCAAAGGCTAAATGCTTAATAAATTGAATGGGATGAGGGAGGAAATGATAAGGATTTAAAAATTCAGAGTA